AAAATTTGAAATTTTTCAGGCAAATAGATCTTGGTGAGTGCAACAAAAATTGGTGTAGACTCAAAATTTCAAGATGCTTTTCTGCAGAGTTGCAAAAGCTAAAAATGATTTCCTCCCAGTCTCAACCACAATACGTTTGATAGAGCTAAAACTATTTCCTATAAATACTAAACACTGTTTGGATTACTGGCTACATTTTTTCGGTTTCTTTTTATCTCCTTTCATTCGAATAAAAATACCAAAATTTTGAGAGCATCCTCAAAAATCCATGTGTCTCTTTTAATTAGAAGATTGTTTGTAAATCCTGGCGAAAACCAGCGGTATATCATATTTTGAAAGAAAAAGCATCCTAATTACTTTCTAGTATAAGTAAAAGAAAGTTTCGGCTCGATCGGTTCTCAACTTTTTCTGTCAAAAAAAAGTTAAATTTTTCCGTCTTTTCCAACTTTGAATCTTAAAATATATCCATTAAATAGAGGGTACATGGAACCTTATATAAAATAGAAAAATACAAAATCTAAAACTTTTTTGTTCTGGAAACGAGGGTTTTGCTTAAGTAAGAAACCCAAATACTTTTAAGGTTATTGCATGTGTACTGATAACTTTTAGAGATAAATCTGTTGCAACTATTGTTGATTCTCATCTATTTCGATGTATCTTCTAAGCAAATCTTTATGAAAATATTATTTATGAAACAGACAAAAATACGAAAACGAATAGCTTAGAGTCAAGTGTTCAACAATGAATAAAGAGTAAACATCAATGAATAGCAAGTTCAAATTGACAAATTCATGTCTACAATTTTACTAATTATGTTTATGTATTTTTCATCTTTATTAACACTCTTTATTCATACTTGACTATGCTAAACGAAAATTGTTTTACATTAATTTTATTTTTTTGTTTTGTGATAAAATAGATGTCGAATATATTTGATGAAAATGTACGTATAACATTAATGAAGTTTTTGGGAACTAAGAAAAAGCCAAAAAAAAAGTTGCTACAGATTGATTTGCTGATGCTCTGTTTAAATGCTAATAATTAAAAACAAAACCAGCTATGAAATATGTTAAACTATTTTCTAGTAAAATTTTTCTTTGATTTATTTTGAATAGATGAAGAAGAAAATGATTTACTCTATCGTCTTCATGGTTTTGTTAAAACTGGTCAAGCATATACGTCCGGTTTAGGTGATTTTGCACGTACAACAGGCAATGATTCAGGTTATTCAAGTCAACAAACAGGACGAGAAAATAATATTGAAAATGCTAAATTAGAATCTCTTCTATCTACGAAACCATTTCATATTTATAATAAATGTTTAATTGATCCTGAACAATTCAATCGTGAATATACAGTTGGTGTTTTTACAACAAATACTGGTCAACAATCACGTTATTGTGATAAATCAAAAGTGGGTAATGTTACATTATATCCAACACCAGAAGGTTATATGCTTGGACCACATTCCGTTACTGTTTCACCAGAAACATTTCCTATTTATGCTAATGTATCTCCAACACAATCATTAACACATACTGATTCTCAATTTTTTGCATGTGTTAATATTCCACCTGATGGTCTTTCATCAAATCGTCCATTATCAACATCACGACATAATCCAGATGAAGTTCGTTTACAAGGACCAGTTATATTTCGTCAAGATACAATATTAAAATCTGAAAATGTTTCTCCTGTATCAGTTAAAATTCGTAGTTTAAAATTTCCTCAAGTTGAAAAAAGTACAATGACTGATCCAGATGCAATTCGTCGTGAAATCGATCGAACATCAGATGAAATTGATTATTTAAAATTAAAATTACAACATAAAGAAAATCATTTACAACATAATGATCAATTACATTTGTTAAGAGATACATTAGAACAACAAATAAGAGGTAAATAAAACTCTTAACATATATTAGAAGACTCAAGGTCTTCTATTTTATTGACAATATCCTGTGATTAAAACAAAAAAAAGAGAGGCAATCATTGATAAGAAGAGTATTCTTAGAACAATATACAAAACGTTTTTCAAAAGGATAAGATTTACCATTGGTAACATTTAATCTTCTCAATGTTAGTTATGCTGAGGTTTGAACAGTATAGAAGGAATTCGTTCACAGCGAAATGTATCACTAGCATAGCTAGTAGTCTCAAATTAACTTGAATAAATACGGTTGTCTACGAAGAAAAAGTTTTTTGTGAAAAGAGATACGTTGTTGGACTCTGAAGGAGTACTTCATAGAACGAATCTCGATGTGTTATATACCTGAAGGTATGTTTTGTTCAATTATGAATCCGACATTGTATGGTAAGAAAGTTTTGAATTTTTAGAAGAATATGGAATGACAAAGAGACCTTTTAATTAATATACAACGAGATATTACCGAGCATGTTCTTATTTTCGAAAGATTTCTTCATATGTGACTTCATGCGAATGTGCATTGTGCCAATTAGATCCTATGACTAATAGGGGCGTTTTTTTTCGTATAGAGAACCTAAAGAATTTTTTCAGTGTATGCTGCAAACGAACTGACGCGTCACTAATGATGACAGCAGCAAAGTATTGCGTATATTGAACTGAGATACTATTATGGACATAAATACTAAAAAAAAACCAATAAGCTGCAAAAATGAGTGGCGACCATAAGTTCAGAGAAGTTGTATTTTTAAGTTTTCTTCTCCCTGATAAAAGTTAGTAAAAATCTGAAAAAAAAATTGTGTATCTGTTGATACATTTGAAGATTTCAACATAAATGCTTGGATGAAGATATGCGAAAGACCAAGACCTCCAAAATCAGCTTTCTAACTTCCATTCAAAGCTTTTTGGAAAAGATTTTGTTTGATAGAATAAATAATTCTAAGTAAAATGAGATGTTTCCGACTTCTCCATCGGATTGCATTCAATTTACAGAAGATCCAAAGTGTTTTCCCGATGTGTGACACTTTGGGACGTTCTGTAAATTGAATTCAGTTTGATGAAGGAAAGCTATGAAGAGGTCAGAGATACCTCACCTTTCTCGGAATCATTTGCTCTATCAAATAAAATCTTGTCACAAAAACTTTGAAATGAAGCCCAAAAAGCTGGTTTTGCAGGTCAGCTACACAAGTATTTTTGTTTTTAGACTTCAACTAGCTTTTATGATCCAGAAGAAAACTTAAGAATACAGCTGCTCTAAACTTTTTTTCGCCACTATATTTTGGCGGATTCTTCTAATATGTTAATGGCTTCACTTCAATTTTTAATTGATTAATTTTTATTTTTCTTAAAATTATTATTTAGAAATTGAACGTGTTAAAATTCTTCATCAAGATTTATTAAATAGTGGTCGTGATAATGAAGAAAATATACTTGATTTATCACAACAAATTCAACGTATACAACAAAATGTTCATGGATATTTACGTCCAACTCTATTACGTCTAGTAGATGATACATCACGAATAAATACAGGAAAATTAATACCATTAACAAATGATGATCATTGGATATGTAATGTTCCTCGACATGCTGATCTTGAACAAATAATTGCTGATCTTGAAGTAAAAATGGATGAACAACAACAAGAATTAGCTAATTTAAAACATGAAAATCGTCGATTAGAACGTTCATTAATTAAAAAAACTATTAAAATTGATGCACTTGATTTAGCTTCATCGCGTAAACGATCACGATCAATTGCTGATTCAGCTGAAACAGATAGTCTTCAAGTAAAATTTCTTTTTGTTAAGAAAAAAAAAACATTTCTAAGCTCTTAAATTTAATTTTTTTTTTCTTCATAAGGATGATATTTTTGTTTTGGAACAACAACTTGTTCGTAAACAACGTGAAATTACACTTGCACAAGAACAATTAAAACAAATGACATCATTATCTCAAAATGTAAATAGAGCAAAATAATAATAAAAAAAGTTCATTTTATTTATTTCTTATTTTCATTAGGTTATTCATGATTTAAAAACAGCTCGTCAACGACATACAATAACTAAACGTGAAACTAAAGGACTTGAACAAAAAATTGAATATTTAACACGAAAATTATATAAGTTGACAAGTGATACAAAGCAAGCTGAAGAAAGTTATGCAAAAACAACAACTAATATTCAATTAATGAATAAAGAACAAGTTAAATTAGAAAAGGTTTTTAATCGATTAGAAATTTTTATTTTCCAATATATATATATATATTTTTTCTTTGTCTTTCTGTAGATAGTTGATGAAAAACGAGCATTATCAATTGTTCTTGATGAACAACTTCGTTCATCATTAAATTCATTTAATTCTCTTCTTAATTCATCTATTAAATGTTTACAAGAATTAACATCAACTACAAGAATAATCGATGATGAATTTCATTTTAATTCATTACCACCACCACCATCATTACAAATAAATCCAATATCATCACATTTAGCACCAGATGAAATTCAACGACAAATTTCACATATTATTTCTGAAAATCATCGTATTCTTTCACGTTATCATTCTATATTACAACAACAAAAACAAAAATCAACATTATTAAAAAATGAATTAACAGAAAAAGAAACAATTTTAGTTAATGTTAAATCAGATTTAGATGCTTATAATGAACAAATAAGAAAAAATGCTAAAGAACTTTTACAGGTAATTAAAAATCATCAATAGTGTAGAAGATAATTTTACACAATAATAAATCATATAGATGAATATTGTTTTACATTACTAGAAATGAAAAATATTCAATAGAAGAATAAGATTAAGTAAATAAGATCGTTAGTGAAAATTTTGAACAATGTTGTTTAGGAATAAGCAAATACGAGTACGTATTTGCACTGGAAAACTCGACTACCGTCATATTTTACTAATGAACGAGATTTTTGAGGAAAAATATGAATTTTTACTTAGCTCATACTTTTGTTTCATCAATATTTGAATCAAAATGAATGTCCATCAATAATACATAGTTTGAAAGAAATGAGAAAACTTAATTGACAAAACTCTCTGTCTTTTGCATATCATTAAAAAACATTTAATATTTATCAACGCTTAAATTTCTCTAGAAGATTGCCAATCAATTATCGAGTATTGGTAATCTATTAGTAAAGGTCATATTGAAAAGAAGAAATCGCGATACTCATAACAGAGTAACTCCATTAGGCAACTAATTAGCTTCTGCATTAATGATCGTACTTTTTTTTATCCTGTTCAACATATGCTTCAGAATCTTCTCCGCGAATTACGATCGATATTTACTTCCTCATATATATCTATTTGCCTCGAGTCTACATATTTATATTGTATTCTAATAAGATAATCAATCTTATCAAACTTTATATAAATAAAACTAAATCAATTGGACATAAATATCGTCTCTCAATCATTCCACTTGAATATATTCAAATCATTTCAATAAATCTCTACAATAACATTTTCTTTCTGATAAACTCGTAGCATTCCTAGAAACTACAACACTGTTAAAATTTCCCCCTATCATCTTTTTTTTTTCTATTTGATTCATACTTGATATCATCTAATTATATTCTTCGTCAAATAATATAGGACAAAAATGTTTTGGAAGAATTAGAACGTGTTAAAGAATTAAAATCTGATAAATTAGCTGAACTTGATCGTCTTATTGAACGTCGTCAAACACAAGAAAGACAAGCACAACAAGAATTAGAACAATTAACAAATGACCAACAACGTTTAAAAAAACAATATAAAGATATTCTATCTGAACATGATCAATTACAACATACAATTGAAGCTGATCGTCAAGTTTTAAATGAAATGAAAAATGAATCAACACGTTTACGTGAACAAATTAAATCATTTCTTGATGATAAAGAAACATTAGATGAAACTTGTGATTTATTAGCTAAAAAATGTGAAGCTTTACATAATGAATGTAAAGAAAAAGAAAATAATTTACCAATACTTATATCACAAATAGATGAAAAATTAACTGTATGTAAAAATTTAGAAGATGAAATTAAAAAATTAAAAACAGATAAAACACGTTGTCTTGAAGAAGTTACTGAAATGAAAATTAAAATTGAAAAAAAACGTATTGAACTTGAACATTCACCTCATGGTATTGAATTTGAACATCGTAATGAAGAATTAAAACAACGTATTAAACGTAATGAACAAGATTTAGATAGACTTAATAGTGATATTGATGAACGTAATCGAACATTAAATGAATTAAATACAATGATTGCATATGCAAAAAATATTATGAAAGTAAATTAAATTTTTTATTTTATTTTATTTTATTTTTTGTTTATTTGAATATTTTCAAGAATATTCAACCAAATGAAAATCGTCGAAATTATAAACATAGTTCATCATCAGATTTTTCAATTGTCGATCAACGACATCAGTAAGTTTTATTTAAATTCTTACTATTTTTTCTTTTTTGTTAATTTATAAAAGACAAGAAAATACAGCATATTATGAAACGAAAATTCAACGATTAACAAAAGCTCTTGATGATAAAGAACAAGAACTTCGTTCATTAAATATGCAATTAATAACGTAAGAATTTATCTTTTTTTTTTTTATTAAATTTAATCCTTTTTTTTTTTTAAAGAACAAAAGATGAACTTTTACAAATGCAATATAAAGTACAAAATCAAGAATCAAATGCTGATGGTATACGTAATTCAATGCAAATTGAATTAGATAAATTAAGACATTGGTTACAAATATATGAAAATCGAAAAGCAATGTTACGTCCGCAATATCATGAAACATTAAAAGAATTAGAATTAAAATTACATGAACAAGAAATGTTTTTTAGAAAACAAATTAAAGATCTTGATTCAGAAATGAAAAAAAAATATCATGGAAAACCATCAGATGATTCAGGGTAGAAAATATTTCTTTATTTAAATTAGAATATGACTGTATATGCATTATTAATTTTGAATTCGAAAATAATTGACTTGAAGAACATCAAATTCAGAATTATTACCGATTCGAAATCTAAATAATATTGAGATTAAGTTGTATAATATCAAAAAAGATATTCTGTACTTCCGGATGCCATTTGACTTCATATTTTGTTTTCAAGAAAAATTTTTTTATAAGACTAAGAGGAAGAATATTAAAACGAAGATTCTTGATGTCAAATAGACTTGAAGTTTTTTTTAAAGAAAATGCCATGGTTTCAGTTTCTCTCCGTCGCACACTCGTCTTACGACTTTTAAACTTTGCACAAATAAAGTTCTCAATGAAACTAAGCGATTTATTACATTTTGAGAGACTTCTTCTCGGCCAAGTGGTATCCATAGATTTCGAACATTAAAGTATTTATCAAGTAAAACCTAGATAGAAAAGATATATAAGGTCAATTTAATTCAGTCATATGTAGTGTTCAATAGAATAAATCTATCGTTAGTAATGTTTTATACAGAGTGAGAAGGATCAAAAGGACGGTGTCTCTCCGAACATCAGGTTGGCCTTTTCGGAGTTTGTAGTACAACAGTTTTCATTTTATATATTATAATTATTCATATTGTATAGATTTCTCAGCGATACAACCTTATATGATAATCGTATATCGCCAACAAATGATACTAATGATACTTCCATGTTACGTGAACAAATTCAAAATATATTTTCCCAACATGTTCAAGAATTAGATAAATGTAATACAAAATATAAAACAAATTTATCAAATTTAAAAAATCGTCTTCATGAATTAGAAAATTCTGCAACAACAACAAATAGATTAGATTCTTAGAATAATCTGTACTTTTTATTTCTGACATCAGATATATAGAACAATTATCTTTTTGTTCTTTTTTTTTTGTTTTGTTTTGTTTTGTACGCATTTTTTTTTTCATTTATAGTTTAGATGGTCTTTTCTTTTGTGTTTGTCGTTTTTCTTTTTATTACTGAAATATGAATAGAAAAAGCAACAATGAGAAAAACAAAACACATAATAGGTAATTCTTGTGTAGAAAAATACGAAAAAAAAAGAAATGAAAAAAAAAATTGTCAGAAGACTAAAAAGAAAATATCGCTGTGTATCGTTCTATCCAAACATAATCAATGTTGGAGAATAATCGATGCTGCATCACTACGACCTATTTGATTAAGTACATTAATCATATTAACAAGAGATTCTTGTCGAGCTTCCCATAATGTTAATAAATGTTCAGTTGGACTTGTTTTTGTTGCAAAATATTGAAGATAACTAACGAAGAATAATTTAAGATATAATTAACAATATTAATATTTCTTACTTTATTCCAAGTAAATTATTTGCAAACATACGCCAATCATTGCCAATTGAATTAGGTGGATCTAATATTTTACATAATTTTTGACGAACTATTAATGGTAATCTTTGAAAATAAAATGATTTTAAATTTAGATTTAGAATGAATGAGTCTTGTTTTTTTTTAAATAATACCTAGCTGTTTCTTTCGAAGATTTTATTGGTTGACGATGACGGATTGAAGAAGTATTAAATCCGGAATTCTGCAATAACTAAAACAAATATAATTTATCAATATTTGATTAGTGTAAAGATAAATATCTTAGTAATACTGATGAAGTAATGATCTATATCATTATTAAATTACTTAGAGATGTCGATTGTTTTACAAAATAGATAAATATTTCAAAAGTTATAATTACTTTTTTCCTCATAAGTCATCAGTGCAGAATAGAAGATTAGTTGTTCTCTTTATACACAATGTTCCTACAGTAGCTATTCATTTCGATTAATCTATACATCTCAGATACGTTTCTCATTTTCATTCATTTGAAATCTACCTTTTGGATATTCAATTTTTATGACTTTTACAAAAATAAGCAAATTAGAGACTGTCATCAAAGCACGTCAAAATAGTTTGTCCTTCTTACATCTTTTCTTCATAAGAAGTAATTTGAAAGCGTTTTCTAAATCTAAATATGTATCATTCTAAGTAATTTCATTAACAAATGATGATTCCATGTTTTCGGTTAATTTCGACGAAATTCAAAATCTTGTGTCACATTAAAAGTACGTCTAACAAATGATAAAAAAACGAATCTCGATCTACTACTAAATGATGATATTCAATCACAAAAAAATCCTTGTTTTTCACTAAGGCATATCTTATTTTAATATGAATATTGTACTAATTGTTATGCATTCATTCAAAAAGAAGAATCAATAAAATATTCGATTTGCAACAATTATTTTTCATCAAGGATCAATTAATATACCATTATTTTCATACGATTATAATCTCATTTTTACCGATTAATTAAAGTTTTGTGAAATACTATCTAATATCAGCAATGAAGTACAAGGGTAAAAACTTCCACAGACCGCGACAGATGCTATCTAAAGACCATGACAGACGCCTTAGCAAGGTTCTCGTCTGTGTCACAGACCGTGACAGACATTATTGATAGATGGTCAAAGACCGTATATTAATAATGTCTTGTTCGAATATATGAACTATTTCCTCATTACAATATCTGAAATATTCAATAAACCGATAGTGAAAAAATGTGTCCCAAAATAGATAGAGTAAAACAATCTTCATGCGATTAGCAACAACAGCTACATTGTGTTTCACATTTTTATTCGGAGAGATTGAGCTAAAAGCTTTTTGGAGAAAAAGTTGAAAATTAGAAAAAAAAAACCATAATATAAGTTTAAGATCAAATTATAATGATATAAAGATAGTACTATTATAATCGATTTCAAGCGGATTTATAGTCATTTTTATGCATAGATCATATTTTTTTAAATAATGTAAACAAGATATGAAAAACGATTAGAATTTCTCATTAAGTTACTAATCCATTCTATAGTCGACTTCAGTTTATATACTCTGCAGAGCAAAAAAATTATTCTATGAGAGTCTCTAGAACAAACTCCTATTTCATATATATATATATCATTATACCCATTTCACTTACGCTAAGTGTATTAACACATAAACGTGTATGTAATGCACTATCTAATATAGTAGGTTGATAAACATCAATATGCATAGCTAAATGATCAATTGATGTTGTTGTTAAATGTTCATTATTCATTTGTAAATTAGGTATAATAAAAATGAAACAAGAACGATCAATTCTAGTTGACCAAAATATTTTTAATGGTACTTCTTTATAACCAATATTAATTCTTGATGTTGATGATAATTCTAAATCAACATTAATACATATTTGATCTTCATAATCATGTATAATAAATTGTTTTGGTGTATCACATAAATAATTTTGTAAAGAAAATTCTTCTGTTAAACAACGTTCTAATGCATCTGATGTTGCATCAAGAAAACGTAAACGTAATGTTGATATTATTTCATTCGAAGAATTTATTTCTGATGATGATGAACGATTAAAAAATGGTACCATTTGAATATATTTTGATGCATGATGATTTAATATTGATTCACCTATTAATGCATAGGCACCCATACTTTCAAACTAAATATATATATAAAATTTTTGAAAGAAAGCATAAGGACACATAAGCAATGGAATTTGGATCATCACCAATCATTCATAGATGATTTATTAGTAATTATATAAAGAAAAGCGATGTGAATTTCTTTTTTGGTATCAAATTCAAGCAAAACTTTGAAGTAAAAATATTTGTAAAAAAAAACATCATTGAAGTCTTATAGAGTCTTCGATGTGTTTTCTCAGTATAATTTTATTGATTAAGTGTTTGACTGGAAATAACAGTAAATTCTGAATCATTTCATAAGAACTATGGACGATAATAATAATACTACTTTTCTCTAGTCTTCTATTGATTTACGATTTTAATGCAATTTGGCTCATTTGAATTTATTTTTCATACAAGCCACTTTCTGTTATATACCAATCAGTAGAGAAAAGAAAGAGCTACAAAATTATATCAATATTTTTTCTTCAAAGTTTTACTTGAATTCGACACCAAAACAAAACAAAAAACTCACATCGCTTTTCTGCATAGAATTACTAATAAACCATCTATGAACGATTAATAGTCTAAAATTCCAATGTTTATACATCGTCGTATTTTACTTACTAAAATAAATGCTTGTTGTTGATTATTAAATTGTAAATAAACTGGTGTTGAAATATTTTCTTGTCCATAAGTCAATACAGATTTCCAATTAAAAACATCATCACTAAACATTAAATTTAATTTCCATGATGATTCTAATACAGCTGTATGTTCAAATGTAAGAACAGCTGGTTTAAGTAATGTTATTTCTGATGGACCAATTAATATAACAGGTGATACACGTGTTTGTCCAGTATTTAACATAGGCATATGATTTTCAATATTAATTAATGCAATAAATATTAAATGATCATCATCAAGTAAAACAGCATTTTCAGGTATTGTTAATGATACACCTGTATTTGGAATTTCTAAACGACAACCTTTATTATTAAGTATTGATACAGCAAAATAACGTAAATCAGTATGTGCTGGTAATGATTGAAGAATATTTTCATAGATTATATTTAAATGATTTTCATTTAATATTGATTGACTTGCTAATGATGGATATTTAATATGATTTGATGCATAACTTGTTGTACTTAATGTTATTGGATGATGAGATAATTTATTCGAATAAATTTGTTTATTTAATGGTGATTCATTTAATAAAAGTAATTTTTCTTTTTCTAATCCTGAATCAAAATGTGTTAATGAAACTGAATTATTTTGTGATATACATGATCTTGTTGATGTTGTATCTTGTTGAATTGAATAATAAAATGGATATTCAGTTTTATCATTATGATAAACACCTAGATGACTACTACCATTACTACTTACAGCATTTGATGTTATACAAGTTGATAAACCTAATAAGAAGAAAAATAATTAAAACAAAAAACAAAAAAAGCTTTTTCTTTTCTTAAAAAAAGAACAAATATTAAAAACAAGTAATAATGATCAAATCATAGACGATGATTTCAATAGATAGATTGAATAAAATTTGATTTTAGTAATAATATTTATATTGAAAAGAAGGAAGAATACTCCTGCCTTTCAGCTACTTCATAGACAGCCTGATATAAAGTTCTTATGCTCAATTACTTGAGCTCACTGTACACATTAACTAACTACAAGAGCAGGTGTATGCTACAACGCAGTCAGCATGCTATCGAACAGATGATTCAATACAAACAGTCATTAGTGACTTGCCCAGAGTCATTCCATGACTGATGGTATCTGAGGTTTGAGTACAGTATCTTGTGGATACATGGCGAACAACGTAGCCGTTAGCTATGTCTGCTATTAATATTGAATTCAAGGTGACCGTCTAAGGAAGTCTGGTAATAAGGTCATCTGTAGTCAAATGATAAATAAATTTTGGATTATAAAAAGTTTTCAAAAAACAAAACTTATATAGTAAAACCTTTTATGGTGGACATTTATCAGAGCCCTAGCTATTATTATCTTCTCCGGAAATGAATCTCTCTATAGTTTATACTCTCGAAAAATCCAAAGAGTATCCTCTAGAGAGAGAGACTATATTGTATATATCAAATTCTTCTTAACTCCTTTAATCTATGCAGAATGTGCAAATCAACGATTGTATGACATAATATTATTACATTATTTCAGTTACTTAATCAATTATGTTGGATATGGCATTAATTTTAGAACCAATGTTGTAGACAACTTGAGAATTGATAGGAATGGCGCCCCTCCCGCAGTTTTAAATCGTCATTTCAAAGAGAGAATCTGAATAAAACAATGTTTAGAACTATAATTGA